TATTGGGTTGAACGCGGGTTACAGTAATATATTTCCTTTTCGACGTAATATTCACGTGAATTTCACGCAGGTATTTTGACTAAAACTATCACTAACGCTTCACGTATTTCTGTGACGCGATAATTTCGTTTATGAAGATGTAATTTCATAACAAAAAAAAACACGGGAGTATTAGGTTTCCAAACCATGGTCTCCAAGGTAGGGATAATCACGTTATTATAATGGTGATATTGCAGTGACAATTGCGTGATTTAGTGTACGTGTGTTTTAAGTGACCTAGTGCAATAAACGTATTAACACATTTACGTAAATGTCCGGTGTTTGAAGAACGTAACTCTCCTCAAGTCGATACCTTGATATTGACGTGATTTTCACGGGATTTTGTTTATTGGGTTATTAACTTATATCGATTCAACTAGAATTTCTTTTAAAGTTGTATGGATTGTCGAATTTCAATTACAGAGCTTTTGATAATGTAATAATCTAGTATTTATCATAATATATTTTATTAGAAACTTTACAGATTCTATTTATAAAAACAAGATTTATTCAAACAAGATTGTGTTATGTGAATTTTATAATACTAACTACTATTCATATATAAGGTTTATCTTTATATTAACTTCAACACTCTTACATAAAGTGCATATCTAATTTTAAATTAGACCAATTTTGGCGTGGTCTTTGAATTGTTGAAGATCACAACATTTGGGTTATAGATGATGTTGTGTCGGGTGCAGGAAGTGTAGAAATGTCGAAGTCGAGTGGTATAAGCACTTGACTCGAAATGCAAAGGTCGTGGTTCGATCCCCGACAAGGCACTAATGTCCTTTGGCAAGGCATACATCTCATTTGCCACACTCGACCCAGGTGAGGTAAATGGGCACCTGGCAGGAATTAATTCATTGAAATGCTGGAGCGGTGTAATGGCAGCTAGGCTTGAAGCTGGAGTAATGCTTAATACGCCTCGGAATAAAATTTCTAGATAGACGGCGCTATAGAAATGCCTATTATTATTATTATTATTATTATTATTACAGGTTATATAATACACTAGTGAAACCCGTGGATATCCACGGGCACTGAAAGTGTATTGAGATTAGGATGAGTTTGACTGCCAATGGCGGATCCAGGGTGGGACATGGGGCACGGGCCCCCACGCCTGACAAAAAGAAGTAGAAAACAAAGATGGTAACCGAAATTTTACTTTAAAAAAGAAAACAAAAATAAACGGGGCCTCCACCCCCGGCCAAAACAAAACAAAGTTTTAAAAAAAGATGGTAAACCCAATTTTACCTTTTCCTTTTGAGCTCAGGAGGGGGGGGGTGAGCACTTTTATGTTTTTCTCAACATCCCCCTCCTCCCCCACACCCCCATCCGTTGAGCAACAACAAAAAAAATCAATTAACGGTCATAACCCTCCCCCCTCCCCCGTTGTGCCAAAATATAGTCCTCATTACCCCCCCCCCCCCCCCCCCCCTCACCCGCTTATTCGTCGGCTCGCTGAAAATCACGAATTGGGCCCCCACCATCGCCGCCGGCTGGATCCGCCCCTGTTGACTGCAATATGCAACCATTAGATTGGAAAGGCAAGAATAACCCTCATCTTCAACTAATCCAATCAATTGAATATATAAGTATAAAAATCACTTTTGAGAACATATATCTTGTGTAATAATGCTTGATATATATTTTCCGATAGATTTACATTAAAATATGCTATTCTCGGGCCAAGGTCAGGCTCAGTACAGTTGTCATAACGATCACACTCATACTCTCTCATCAATCATTGACTTCTAACGTTAACGTTCTATCCAGTCCCATGTCCCCCCCCCCCCCAACCCCCGACCCCACCGGCAGTAATCCCTTCTGCATTCATGATAGAGGTTTGTGCCACCGTGTATTCGTCCGCGGATAGCTAGCGCAGGGCTAGCCGACGATACCTGTGTTACTTATCAACTTAAAGCTTATCTGCCGTAGTTTACAGGAGGGATTAGACTGCCCTGCAAGGTCACTGGACAGGTGGTTATCTCATCAACTCAGCTCTCAGTTAACATAAGAAAAAGAGGATCATGGGGGACCAATGGTCACCGATTAGGCATTGTTTGTTATATAGAGGGCGCAAGTAGGTACAAGTAGTGCAGTGGGCCTTTAATAGCTATTTATACATTTGGTTAATAAGCCATTTTTTGTTTAGCTAAATATTTATTTATTCGTCTTTTTAATGCAATACATTTACCAATCCTTCGTGAAATAGCACAAATAGACGTCTGCAATCGTTCGACCTGATCTCATCGATTCAATTAGAATTTCAAGTAATTTGTATGGTTTGTCGAATTAAACTATGCCATATAATTTCATTTTTATAGTATGACTTTGTATTTGAAAATTCTATAATATAGTGTTTATCATAAATTTTTTCGTTAAAAGCTTTCCTGATTTTATTGATAATAACAGAAAGATTCAACCAATTATGATTTTGTCGTATTAATTTCAAAAATACTAACTACTATTTATATATAAAGTATATCTATATAGATAAATCAACTATTTAACACGTCAGATGTATTCCAATATACTAAAAAATAAATTTTGGCGTGGTCTTTGAATAGTTTGAAGACCACAGAGCTTGACTTATTACAGAAGTGGTGTCGGGGTTGGGAAGTATAATAAATTTAACAGTACTAGTTACGTGGCAACGTGTACGGCATGTTATTTCTGTTGCATAGCAAAATGAAGCACAGTCCCCGGGATTTTTCCACGAACCCTGTAACTTTTGGAGCCTTCAATATTACATCAAAATCCGTAAATTAAAAAAAAATCCCAAGGTTACGTCGAGAAAAAGGATAAAATTTACATTACCTGAGGAAGTTTAAATGAATCAATCGGCATATATATTTATTTTTAAGTGGAGCTGAATTGGTATGATCGTATTCAATATAAAATTCACACCGTTTTGGGGTCTAAAATTTCCTTCATAGAAATTTTAGGTTCTAAAAAGGCACTAGAAATGTCATAAATAAGAATAAGAGCAATAAATATGAACTTTAAAGGCATTTGCGGTCTTAAACAAGAACTCAACTATTCCTTAATGTAGATTTCATTCATTTATCTTTTTCTTTATTGTCTTGCGAATTTTTTCATTCAATTTTAGTCTTACTTATTTAAATGATTTTGTTTAGATTCAGTCATTAATTATTTCTGAAGTAATTACCTATTCATTTTTTTATTTATTTATTATTCATTCATTTAATGTATGAGTAAAACGTTTTTCATTTATATTCAAATTTATAAGTTTATTTCATTCATTTATCTATTAACTTATTAGCTATTCATTGGTTTGTTTGTTTGGCCATTTCTTTGTTTAGCTACATATTTATTTATTTATCTTTTTAATTCAGTACATTTACCACTCCTTTGGGAAATAGACGTCTGCAGTCGCTTCGACCTGACTCCATCGATTCAACCAGAATTTCGAATAATGTTTTATGGTTTGTCAAATTTGCCATTTAATTTCAATTTCATAGTATTTAAAAATATTATGAAGTATTTCTTATCATAAATTGTGTAATCGAACGCTTTACAGATATCATTTAAATAAAAGAAAAGATTCACCTGATTATAATTGTGTTGTGTTCATTCCAAAAATACTAACTACTATTTAAATATAAGATACTAGCTGGATCCGCGGAAATCCGCGGGATCAAGAGGGGGGCGGGGGTGTAAATAGATATATAGAGAATGACTAAATTAAAACCACCAAGAACTTTATTTGCCATTCAGGCCATTAAAAAAATATACGTGTTAAGCGTTCCCGCCCGCTTTTTTGGGGGGGCTGCCTCCTATTTATTTAGTTTTTGATTTTTTTTAATTTTTTTTTTTTGATTTTTTTTTTGTTTTGATTTTTTTTTAAAGAAAATAAAACAGTGTCCCCGTTTGCTTCCTTTTTGGGGGCCGCCTCTATTTTTTTTTTTTTGTTGATTTTTTGAAAGAAAAAAACATGAAAAGCACTGCTAAAATGTTTTTTCTGATTAAAAAAAAGTAAATAACTGTAATAGAAGCAGGACCCGCGGAATACCTAAGGGGGGGGGGGGTGTAAATAGATATATAAATTAAAACCACCAAGAACTGTATTTGCAAATTAGAGGAAACCATAAGTTCCTACCCAACTTTATTTGCCATTTTGAGGACACCATAAGTTTAACTTGTTGGTATTCACATTGAAAAATCCACAGGATTATAGGGGGTTGGGGGGGGGGGGGGGGGGGGGGAGGTTGTAAAATGTTAATTGATATATGCGCTCTCGAAAATAATATTGATTTAAATACAAACAAAATTAAGGTTAATTTAGGTTACGTTAGATTTTATATAATAACACCCTTTTTTTTCTTTGGAACATTTTTTCACTTTTATTTTCATTTTTATTTCTCTTTTTTGTATATGATTACTTTTTATTTATTGTTCCATTTCTTTCTTTTTATTTATATTTTACTTGTAAAAATATAAACCTTTTCTGTGTTGTTAAATTACGTTTTTGATTTATTTTTTTATCTGTACCATGTAATAAAAATTGAAAATTGGAAGAAAAAAGTGAAATCAGATATTTGTAATTAAAATTTGTTGCAGATAATTTATAATTTAATTCGTTTTCACTTTCGTTATTTATGATTATTGTTTTCAATTGTTCCTATCCATTTTGTCACTTTTGCTTTCCCATTCTTCCTAGTATCTAGCAATACCATTCCATTTCACTCCCATTCTCACATTTGCTTTTTTCACACAACACATTACTAAGTTAATTTAGTTCTACACTGAAAATAATATATTAATTGATGATTCACATATTTTCCATCTTTTGCTTAATTTCTCTCATTTCTCGGATCACAATGCTGACATGATAGTAGATTATAAATGAAATTGATATTCAAAGAGTCTATCAATAATGTAAGAAATTACAACATATTTATGTATACTTGCTCCAAATGAAAAAATGAATACAATTTTTAATTTGGCTTAATATACTTTATTAAAATAACATGATCCATTTATTAAAGTTATCATCAAAAAGATATTTTGCATGGATGATGCAATTAACTTAAAAGAGACGCTTTGATGTTCTCCATACTTGGAAATATATGCAGACAAATAATTACATACATGCATCTGTTTACATGGTAATTCCTTATAAATATGCATTTACAAACAGTTAAATATCAGAAAAGATTTGAAAGTTTACAATAATTGTTTCTCATCTTTCCTACATGATAAATATTTTGAAGATAAAAATATTGGTTATATTTACATTTTATAATACAATATGAAGGGTGAAAAAACACAACATATGTACATCATATAATAACTTTAACTTATATATTATCATACAGTTATAAAGTGCTTAATTTTTTTTACATTTCAATTTATATTTAACAGAATATGCCAAAACAGCAAGTCTTATTTAATTTCATGTTTAAAAATATCCAAGTACTGATTTATCTTAATGCAATGCAGGAAAAAGCTCAAGGTGAATAATCCATATCAATGTTTATAAATGTAGTTCTTTAACTAAAACATATTTTGCTTGAAAAAATCACAGCACATGTACATTATTATAATAACTTTTATCTTATACTATGATACAGTTTTAAAATAATATTTTTTTTACATATGCAGACACATAATTACATACATGCATCTGTTTACATGGTTATCCCTTATAAATATGCATTTACAAACAGTTAAATATCAGAAAAGAATTGAAAGTTCACAATAATTTTTTCTCATCTTTCCTACATGATAAATATCCCTTTTAAACATTTATGTTGCATATTTTGAAGATAAAAATATTGGTTATATTTACATTTTATAATACAATATGAAGGGTGAAAAAACACAACACATGTACATCATATAATAACTTTAACTTATATATTATCATACATTTATAAAGTGCTTAATTTTTTTACATTTCACATTTATATTTAACAGAATATGGCAAAATGGCAAGTCTTATGTAATATCATGTTTAAAAATATCCAAGTACTGATATATCTTAATGCAATGTAGGAAAAAGCTCAAGGTGAATATTCCATATCAAAGTTTATAAATGTAGCTTTTTATCTAAAACATATTTTGCCTGAAAAAAAATCACAGCACATGTACATAATTATAAAAACTTTAACTTATACTATGATACAGTTTTAAAATAATAAGTTTTTAACATTTCACATTTACATAATGCTATAACACATGTATGGCAAAAAGGCAAGTTTTATGATAATTTCATGCTTATAAAAAGTGTAAGTACTGAATTATTTAACGAATATACATATAAAACTTAAGCTGAAGGTATCGTATCTATGTTGAGTTTCTTGTCTAAAACAAATCTTGACTGCCTTCTTTGGTATCATCGCCTTCTTTGGTATCATCGCTATCTTTTGTATCATCGCCTTCTTTTGTATCATCGCCTTCTTTGGTATCATCGCCTTCTTTGGTATCGTTTTCTTTGGTATCATCGTCCTCTGGTCCACAGCAGAGTGCAGATAAACTCGATTGCGATAGGTCCAGGTCTGTTTGCTTCTTCTCTAATTTGGTTTTGAGTTCTTTGATCTCTTTCTTTAGCACATGATTTTGTTTTGCCATTTCTCTGTTTTTTTCTACCATTTTTTTCTTTGCTGCTGCGTTTTCATCCTCCATGATCTTCACATGTTTTTCCATTTCATTCACCGCCTTCATCATTTGCCCAACTCCCTGTTGTACATTATATTGTCGATGCCTCAGTCTCGTGCATATGCCTATCATCTGTAGGAACGAATTCTGCATCGTTTCGTTGTTTGTCCCGTTCACTTTGGCCATTCTATTTAAAAGAAAAATGAAGAATCGTACTGATGCTTAAATAATGTCAAATATTTTACAAATTCATGGTAATTCACATATTTAATTGCAAATTTAGTTTGTTTGTCGTATTTTAGTTGTGTATTAAATTGTTATACAGAATTTAGAGATCAATAAATAATTACATATCATTTAGATCTAACCTAGATTTAGTCAAAATCTCATTTATGTACAAATGTAGAAAGTTAACATTACATTATCATACTTAGATCCAACTACATTAATGGAAATGTAGTTCGAGTTTACTTAGAATAGATTAATCATTGTGGAATCAATTAGATGAATTAAAATAAAAGTAGATCTCTTCTTCTTTAACGTTAGAATTAGACTCGGAAGTTAAAGTCATGAGAAGTTATGTTTCTATTAATAATCAGAGTTAACCAAATACCAAGGCCAAGGGCATTTAATTTTTTATTCCTTTTCAGTTTCTTAATGCATACATTGTAGTCTGCAGACTGATGTAGATGCATATTAGATTTTTGTGGCAAAATTTGGGTTGCCCCGATGTTTTGCCCACCCGACCCTCATCTTTTTTTTCTCGCTTTTGTCACGTTGATGATCTTATGATTACGTTATACAGTAACCCCAGGTAGCTTCGCCGACGCTTGCGGCAGCAGAGCTCCTTGGAGTTAGTTATAAATATATTATGTAGGTGCTGCATGAAATCTGAAATCTGTTATGTAATGTAATAAGACAATTTTACTTACTTAAATCAGCTGCAAGCGGGCGTTTGAAGCAGAAAATAAACTTCTGTTATCGAACAATTAATGAGTAGTCTAAGGTGCTTTTATTTAATCGAGAAGAGGTTCACCAAGTCGAGGTAGATTTATAACTATTAGTAGGTCTACGTTGAACGAAAGAAGCTTTGTTTATATTTGATTGATGGCGAACACACGTGCACACACATTGAATACATACACGCGAAGATGGATAGCGCTTTTTGTGTGTCATGTTGAGCATTATCATGTACGTGTACCCCGCACACACTTGTTATTAATTAGAACAATGCATGTACAGAACAGCCGCTATTGAATTTTAAACTCCAGTTTTCCTTAGGCTTTAGCTAACATGAACACACGTGCACACACGTTGAATACATACACGCGAAGATGAATAGCGCTTTTTGTGTGTCATGTTGAGCATTATCATGTACGTACCCCCCCCCCCCCCCACACACTTGTTATTATTTAGAACAATGCATATACAGAACAGCCGCTATTGAATTTTACACATCAGTTTTCTCTAGGCTTTAGCTTAAATTCTATATAGTGTTCATTAACAGTTCCTATTTTTTGGCCAAATAAATGATAGCTGTTTTATTAAATTCAATTGCATAAGAAAGGTGTAACATCAAAATTGATGTGTGGCTTAAAAATATGTTTTAACGACACGATCTCATAGGTTTGAAAATGTTTGTAAGCCTTCTATTTTGATTATTTGAGTTTGTTATAAAGAATATGTGATTGAATTGGGCATATACCTATTATTGTGTTAGACCGGGGGTGCGTGGGGAAGGTAACTTGTTTCTCTTTGTTCTCCGTTTTGTCTCTTTTTTTTTCTTTTATCATTTGATATTTGGGGTGGGAGTGGGAATAGGGGGGGGGGTGGAGAGGTTTGGAAGTTTTATAAACATATTGTTAATTTAATATATAAGTAGTAAATTTATCAAGAATTTTACACTCAATAAACATTGGTCATCCAAACCATTCACACATTCATTCCTCTACTCACATATTGAAATCAAAATTATTTATTTTTATGTGAATTAAAAGACAAATTCATGATTTCAAACATAGAAATATAGGTAAAACATAAATATGAAATTTATGATATTCTTTATTTAACAATTCAAAAGAATACATAAGATTTATAATTAACATGATTTAAGGATAGGTTTAGAATATTGTCTTGAAAAATCTTCAGTCATTGAGTGTTTGTGTCTTTCATTAGCTGCTTTGGTCATTTGGTAGGTTGTTGGCAAGGATTGCTGCAAACATTTTGCACATGTAATAAACATGTGTGCAACTACAGCCTTCATACAGATATCACCTTTTTTCATAAATCAAGATGTTAATGAAGATGTTCTGAACTATTTATATGTTATATTAATTGTTAAGTCACATTATTCATGTGTTGAAATCAACCTGAATTCATAGCTGAAAAGAACACATGGATTTCAAGCAAGAAGCATGCCATCAGGATATTACAGAGAAAAGGAATGCATTTAGTAGTAAAAATAATTATAATCATCATCATAATGGTTATATAAAAACAAACAAATGACATAATCTTTTTTCGTCTAAAAGTATCATGGTGTATTTGAAAGATCAATGGTTACTTTGGATCAATTAAACTTAAGTTTGAAAAACAGATATGGTGTGAAAATTTGGGTGCTACATTAAAGTTGTAGGGTGTTGAGTATAATACTTGTAGGATAGTTCCATGAAATTGTATTTAAGATCCTGTGTTTGACAGGTGAATTACAAAGTGGTCTGTGTTTTTCTTTCATTAATTGAATTTTTCACAACTGTTACATTTATTATTTGACGTGAATGAACATTTTGGTTTTGGGTGTTTAAAGAATACATCACATTTACATTTAAATTTGTATTTATCACGTACTGATGTTTTGAATTTTTTGGATTGCAAATCATGGATATGTCCTTAGAGTCCTACTTAATATCCATTAGTTATTTATTTGTTTAAAGCATGTACACATTTTAATGGCAGGTTGTTTATCATAAATATGGTTTAAATATACTTATAAATGGAGTGCATGTATGCTATTAAATTTTTCTTCATATAAGATAATATTTACAGATATAACACAACTCATTCAGAAATCTCTTACTTGGAAATTGGGGGAAAATCCATCAATTTTACATATTACACATATAAATCCCAGTGCATGGACAGTGTATTAACGTATAATGAAGGTAATATATATACATTCATGATAAGAGCAATGATATGCTCTTTCAGTATTGGATCAACAGTCCAGTTGTCCTAAAGCAATTTGTACATTAATTTTACAAACATGTAAAAGGCACTCTATTCTTCCAGTACCTGGCGAATCACAACATTTTTTGTTTATGTTCTAGTCCTTGTTCAAACATCCAGTCGTTATCTAGTTGTTTAAAGCATGTACACATCTTAATGGCAGGTTGTTTATCATAAATATGGTTTAAATATACATATAAATGGAGTGCATGTATGCTATTAAATTTTTCTTCATATAAGATAATATTTACAGATATAACACAACTCATTCAGAAATCTCTTACTTCCAAATTGGGGGAAAATCCATCAATTTTACATATTACACATATAAATTTCCTAATGCATGTACAGTGTATTAACGTATAATAAAGGTAATATACATTCATGATAAGAGCAATGATATGCTCTTTCAGTATTGGATCAACAGTCCAGTTGTCCTAAAGCAATTTGTACATTAATTGTACAAACATGTAAAAGGCACTCTATTCTTTCAGTACATGGCGAATCACAACATTTTTTGTTTATGTTCTAGTCCTTGTTCAAACATCCAGTCGTTATCTAGTTGTTTAAAGCATGTACACATCTTAATGGCAGCTTGTTTATCTTGGTCTGCATGGCTAGTAGTACATCCCATAATTGAATCAATTTTTGCATGGTTTTTATTTCATGTTTGCTTCAAGCTCAAACATTACTTGTTGAGACATGCGCATTTACTTATGATTCGTTGAGTACAGCTTTGAACACTATATTTTGAGTGTGTGTTTCATTGTGGTTGGTACCTTGAAGGTGAGTCTTGTGAACTTGAACAAAGATGGATTTCAAGGATCGTGCTCGCGATAATGCAACATACAGCTGTCCATGTGTGAATACAGGTTGCGGAAGGTACACTCCAACTTTATTGAATGTTTGTCCTTGAGCTTTGTTTATCGTCATGCAAAAGGCGAGGCGAATAGGAAATTGTGTGCGTTGAAGTTGAAATGGCAGTTTGGTATCAGATGGAGACAGACGAATACGTGGAATGAGCACTCGTTTGTTGCTTCTGATGATTTTGGCATCAATGACATTTTTGTGCAGACGACACACTTTTAATCGTGTTCCATTACAAAGTCCTTGGCGGATGTCCAGGTTTCTCATCAGCATTATCATAGCCCCTTCTTTTAATTGCAGTTTGTGTTGTGGCATACCTGATGGGGTGAGAGAATTTATGAATTCTGTAGGAAAATTGTGCTCCTCTACAGGATCATCGCATTTGATACTGTCAATACTGTAGTATGTTTGAGATTTTCCAGGTGTGTGTTGTAGTATCTGGGCATTGATGTGGAATGTTGCATCATTCTTAGGTGTCAGTATAGCTTCTTGTTCAAGAGGAGTGGAGTCAGATCCACACATGGCAGATACAATGTCATTCGTTATGATTTCTGTTGGTAGAACAATACTGTTGGGTGGCAAGGTCGTATCTTTTACTTCAAGTTGATCATTTCCAACTTTTAGCACCCATTCAGCAAAGTCTTTTTGCTCCAACTCTGCTCTCATATTTTGAGTCAAATGGTATGTTTTCGCATACTGGAAGACTGTAGCTTGTTTGATTGTATTCTCTATTAGAGTTGCTGGTCGTGCTCGTGGGATTACAGGAAGCACCTGCCTGAAATCACCTCCCAATAGAAATATCTTGCCTCCGAATGGAATATCACACTGCATTATGTCTCGTAAACACATGTCAATAGCATCAAGTGCATGCTTAGGGACCATAGACACCTCATCAATGATGAACAATTATGTATTTTTGATGATGTTAGCTTGCGTAGAGCTAAATGAGATGTTGCAGGTACATCCATCTGTGATGGGGACTGGTAGCTTGAAGAAGCTGTGAAGAGTTTGTCCTTGATGTAACAATGTTGCTGCGATGCCAGTGAAAGCAGTTGCAGATACCTGAAATAAAATATGTACAAACAGCCATTGGTTTGAATGAATACATTACTTAGTATATTTGTTTTTTATGGCCAGAAAATAAATGAATTATAGCATGTGTTCTTTTAGTGTAGAATATAAGTTTATCAATTTGTCTTTGGCACTTTTTTTGTTGGTTTTTTTCCTAATAATTTAACATTATCTTTTAATAATCGTTTTATTTATTTGGACATTAGTAACATATTTACTATTGACATAAATAAATTTAAATTGTTTTGTCAGTCAGAAATACACAATTCATTGATTTATGTCTTTGATGCTTTTAAATTGTAGATATTGAAAATGAAGCATACTTATATTTGAATGATTTTTTTGTGGTGATCTATAGTTTACATCTAGTTTAGTATACAACATAAATTGTCTGTAATCTTTTATTAATAGATAGAGTTTACACATGTTTCCTTACTGATGTAATACTTTTATAACAAAAAAGCCTCTGTATGTATTAATTTACCTCCAAGTTCATAGCATGAAAAGATGAGATCAGTCTGTTGTAAACAGTTGTCTTGCCAGTTCCGCCTGGACCATCCATGAAAAAGACAGATGGTTCTGGCTGTGCTTGTCCATTTTGAAGACAGTCCATGATAGCGTCAACAACAGCTTGTTGTTCTTGGTTCAAGGTGAGATTGGTATCATCAAGCAGGTTAGGTGCAGACTCTACAGGTACGTCTGGGATGTTGTTGTCAAGTGGAAGTTGAAATCCAGAGCAGGACAGACCTGAGTTGGCAACATGAAATGTTATTTATTTAGTATGCAAGTTGTATAATTCTAGTGCATGTAGTTACTTTTTCTTAATAATTATGTGATGTATAGTATTTGTACAGTTGATTTTCACTCTATTTTCCTTTCCATAGAACATTAAATATTCAATGATATCGTTGTTGACATGGGTAATTCTAAGAATAAAATGCCACTGTGTGTATGATGAAATTAAAGCACTTGTGCACTTTATTTGATACACAATGTATTATTTATTATTATTGCTATATAATCAAGATATGAAAGTATGATTGCTCATATACCCCTCCCCCCTCACCCTTTTATGCTATAAGTATCTATTGACTTCATTTTCCAATAAAGATACAATAATATATTGATTCTTACATATTTAGTTATTTGTAGTTTTATTGTTTAATGTGGTTTCATTATAGAAGCAAAGATATCGATTTAGTTTTTGTACTGCATTCATAAAAGTTATCAAGAACTTGTTTATTTACCATAAGCCCGAAGAATGCTGTCGATGTGTTGGAGTGCTACTTGTTCTGCAAGCTGAATAGAATATCGTCTCAATAGATCTTCAGTCATTGAGTGTTTGTGTCGTTGCCATAAGCTGCTTGGATCATTTGGTAGGTTGTTGGCAAGGATTGTTGCAAACATGAAGCGTAGTTGATGTGGCATTTTGAAGTTTGCTGCTTCACACCAAGTGTCTTGCCATGTGGAGTCATCATCTAACAAATTACGTAGTTTGCAGGATTCCTTGAATGTTTGTGCTTCAATTCCATCCACTGTTTTTAAGTCAGTGTAGCTTTTAGCACCGGGTACATGGAGCAAAAGAATGCGGAGATAAAATCGCTCTTGATCTGTAGGGCTAACTGAGTACATCCTATCAATTGTATTAGTTTTTCTTTGTCTTTTCTTCCATTTTTTTTTTGGTCATGTCCCACACATAATGTTGAGCTATGTCAACATATAGAAACTGATTAGCTTCTGGCTCAGAGGCATTGAGTTCAAACCATGCTGTAAGCTGTGTTTTATGTGATTGAGCTCTTTCAAGTGCGCTCTCTTCGTTTCCTTGAGTGAAGTATACGTTTTGTTGGTCTTCCAGATGAACAGGAAGGCGATGAACTGTGTGTGACTGGGCATGCATCTTGTACTCTGATAAGCGCCACATAGCTTCTGGTGCACTTACATATCTGTGGATTTAGATGAATGAAAGACAAACCTAAGTTAATTTAAAGTTTACTTAACAGAAGATGTTGTCTACAGTTTGAAAGTCTTTGTAGTCTTTGGCATGTGGAGTCATCATCTAACAAATTATGTAATAGCAATGTATCTAACTCCCTCCCCCCCCTTGTGGCATTATATTGTCTATAAAAAATCTGTCATCATATAAGTAAATTTTAAGTGAAGACAATTCTCAGACCACAAAAATAAGATTTTTGCAAATTTTTATATTACTTGTGACATTTCTTGAAATGTAAAACATATTGATATATATATTTTTTTTAAAACCATTTCTTATGTTTTCTATCCAAAATTTCTTGTCTTTATCATTATTTGTAAAATTTCAATTGATTTTACAATGATATCATATTACAAAAGATTAACTGTTTTACATGCAAACGCAAAGAAAATGTGGTAATTGAGTTTTAGGGTAAATGTATTTGTTTTCACCTTGTGTTGAGAAAATGGGAAACTTCATCATGGTTGAAGGTAGTCTCTGGTTGAACTTCCACGCTTGCGCAGTCGTGGCCTTTGTAGACGTACTTGAACAGATATTTTACGCTTTTGACCGACATACATGCTTCAAGATTGATGTGGGCTTGGTATTTCCTTGATAAGTAAGGACTGTATGGAACTATCCACCTATTAAATGAAAGAAAATAAATTGACAGGAAAAATTAATGTCAAACACAAATGGAGAAAGAAATTGATGTTGGTTAGTTAATTTTTAAAATTAAAAGAATGCTCAGTACTTGCAAAAGAAGTGAAATTATCAAGGAAGAACCATATATTTAATATGCATTTTCGATAATTGTGTATTACATTCGATTGACATATAATGTGTGCAATTAAAATTATGGACCCTCATTTACCAACAATTATTTGAGAAAAAAACTGCTAAAAATTTAACTGTTTTTGAAAAAAATTACCTGTTATCTAATTCTGCATTCTTGATTGTCAGTGTTCTTCCATTGTCAGGTCGTGCATAGAGGGGGTATCCATCACTGCTCACTTGGGTTTCTGCTTGAAAGTTCTTTGGAAAGTCTTTCTGGCACTTTCCATCATCCATGCATACAGATTTAGGATTCAAAGTTCCACATGGACCATGTACCATTGTTGCCTTGATGATGTTGTAAAGGACTGAATCTTCATCAGGATCTGGTATTTGAGCACTGATCAAATTGTCAATGTCTTCTGGATTTCTCATTTTTGTGTCTTCACTGAGCATCAGTAGCATGTGGCAATGTGGGAGACCTCGTTTCTGGAACTCAATGACGTAGATCCAAGCAATGGGACGTCCAAGTACATGGTGTTGACGCAAGTCTGCGAGGAGGTTGTTCAGTTTCTGTTTGAATACTCGTGCTACAATGTCAGGGCGATCAGAGCTTGTTTGCCCTGGTAGCAAGTTTTCCTTGATCTCATCCCATTTGGGATTGCAGGTAAAGGTTAGGAAGAGGTCTGGCTTGCCATACTTTGCAACAATAGCCATCGCATCTTGGTAGTTCTGTTGCATACATCGTGGACTTCCATGAAAGGTAGAGGGGAGTACCACAACTTTTCCAAGAGGCAAGTTGGCATGATCGGCTTCTTTGTGTAAGTGGTCCATCAGCCCTTGATATTTTGCAACTCTCAACTGCTTTTGATTGTTTTTCACATACTGCAAGCGATTGGCCTCTGTCTTAACATAAGCATCTACAATATACTGCTGGAATAGTTTGCCTCCTCGGTGGATCGCACTAAAGCTCTGTCTGACAGCCAAACGAAAGGAATAAAACTGCAGGAATGTTACATTAATCCTCTTCTTAGTGCGTTTCTCTGGTCTGTGTAACATGTTTGGCATCCATCCAAGGTCTCCCCTGGGAAAAAGAAGTGGATAGGTCATGGGATCAATATTCGCTGATAGACAGCTAATGTTGTGCAGATGATGGTTTTTTGGATAGACTGCAAAGTCTCTCTGATCCGGAGGCATACCATCTTCTCCCACAAAAACTGCTGCCACCTCATCAACTGTGGGAAGGTTGTATCTGCGTTGATCAGAGCCTCGCTTGAAAATCATCTTCACAGATGGCACGGGAGTTTGAGGGTCACTTGTTTGCATTTGTTCATCTTCTACTTGCTTCATGCACTTGTACGCTGCAGCATAAGGGCTTGTTTCCTCTATGATATGTTGAATTGTCTCCATGGTGCTTTGGTTACATTGTGGGTGTTGTTGAATCCTAGTTGATGTTGCCAGATTTCCTTCTAGTATGTACACCTGTCCATATTTGGGGGGCTCACCTGGTGGAGGGTGTAAGCATCCTGACCGGTGATATATTTGCCCGTGTATACGAAAACAGTATGGTCCTCTTCCTGGTGGAGGAGCCATCATTGCTCCCATCGATGCGAAAGCAAATGATGAATTGTAGTATCTGATATTGTATCGGAAATGTTTAGATTGACTGGAGTCTCCTTGGAGCAATGTTGCTAGAGCATTTGGGTATGGTAATAGTTCCGGCAAACATATTTTTCCATCATGACAACAATTCAGTGACTCATTTGGGAACCGCATTGCATCACAATAAGGACATATTTTGGACATTGGTCCAATATGTAGTATCTCAGGTCCTGCTTCGTGGATGCGTTCGGTGCTTGGGCCAGACCCCTCATCCTCAGGTGCAGCCTCCTGTGATGCGACGTGGTTTGCATGGTGGATTGGTTCGGTGCTTGGGCCAAACCCCTCATCCTCAGGTGCAGCCTCCTGTGATGCGACGTGGTTTGCATGGTGGATTGGTTCGGTGCTTGGGCCAGACCCCTCATCCTCAGGTGCAGCCTCCTGTGATGCAATGTGATTTGATCGACTTGGTTGCTTCTTTTTTTTGGAGGGGGAAAAATGCAAGCTTCTGCATCGCTTCGGCATCGCTTCGGCATCTGAAAGAAATTAAAGGAATAACATTAAAATCGATTCAGAGTTGATTTTTATTGTCAATTTGATGTCTTTAGTCATGTCATTAGATTGAGAATGAGAGACGCATTTATTAACAGGAGTAGATCTAGGCTAGTATGGTTCTACCAGGTCATGAAATTAATGGTTAACAATCGGGGGTGATAGTGAGCACTACAAAAAAAAATGAGGTTTTTCGTTTTCCCCTCAACCACGCCCCCCTTGAGTAAAAAAAAAAAAAAAAGATTCGCGGGGGAAAAATGGCATCTAACAACATTCCCCCCTTTAGAGTAAGAAAATTGGGACCAAATTGGGAAAATTGAGAAATTGGGAGAAAAGTAGGAAAGAATAGATAAATAAGAGGGAAATCAGGAAAATCAGGATAAAATAGGAAAAAAAAAAAAATTGGTCCAAAAAAAAAAAAAATCTGGATTTTTTTTTTTTTTTTAAATCGGGAAGAAGAAAAAAATCTGGAAATATCAAAAAAATTCAGGAAACCGATTTAAATCGGATTTTTATCAGCCTAAACAATACAAAACGTGTTGTAACATTGAGAGCAGAAAAAGTGAATCCTGTAACAAAATTTTAATGTATAAATTCATTGCGACAGCACACGTAGTTGTTTCGCAATAGACTTCTACATATGACTATGCATGTTAGCGCATGTGCTAAGAGAACGCGTAAGTGCAGAAAGTTGTGCGACACTGACCAATTTCGAGCTAAGTTGGAGGTATTTCTGGGGCCCTAAATCTGATTTAATTTTGAAAGTTGAGAAAAGTTGTTCAGCTGCCTGATTTGTGCAAGTTTTGTGGCTCATTAATTAATTTTTAAATTGTTAGTTACAGCTGTTGAAACGGCTGTCTGACCGAACACTGGGAATGGACCGAATACTGGGCGCGCTACCCTAGTTGTACTGTACATAGATCTAGATCCATAGCCTGCCTAGATCTAGACAGAAATAACCATCTGATTTGGTCATTTCTTTAATAAAACTGACATTTGTTGACATTCCCAAATACAGACAGTGGTACAGAGATCTCGTACCATGGGGGTAGCTAGATTAGAGCCAGCGATGAACATCTTTTCGTTCATGACATTTTCTCCCCGATTTTCCTTATTTAGATCTAATTTTCTGATTTCTAAATCAGATGTAAATTAGGTCGGTATATATAGATCTACCTCCTAATTACAGTTTTCAAAATTTGCTAACCTAGTATTATAGAATGTGAAATTTTCGGAGGTCTAGTGGAGCCAGACGTAGTCTCAGTGGAACAACCGACGATTAACTGTTATTGTTAGAGTATTGTTAGAGAGACTGAAGTTTTCGGTCCCGCTACCCAAATCTGAAAAATCGAGTTTCTTACGCGTGTATGTAAGAAATATGGGTACCATAAAATGAGCTTTATTTCAAGTATTTTTCAGATTTAGAGCCCGATTTTGTGTTGGTCGCAAGCTCAAAAGTATCTCATCGCATGTATTAAATCAATAGTCCCTTGCATAGCCTTGACCCATTTGTAACAACGGTCAGGCTAATGATTTTTGTTTGCTTTAAAACTGACCAAGCAATATGAAACAAACTTTTCTCAAAAGTGGCAGCCCCGAAAGTAGCTAAAAAGGTGTTAATATGTTTATAACTTACTTTTACTCTAATTGTGATATCTTGTTGTGATCAAGTGCTAGTTGAGAACTGCAAAGAAATGAGTGTGATCGACGGTCGCGGCGGCATGCAGTCTATATAGAGAATATAATATAGGAAGATACCTAACACGGGGTATAAGTCATACCCATTCAACGTGCATTTAATACGCAACTTAATGTGAGTGGATAGTCATCGGTCACAAAGAAATGAGTGTGATCGACGGTCGCGGCGGCTAGAGAATATCATATAGGAAGATACCTAACACGGGGTAAGTCATACCCATTCAGCGTGCATTTATTACGCAACTTAATGTGAGTGGATGGTCATCGGTCGTGTGTCTACGGATGTCATGTTGCATATCCATGAGGTATCTCTGTCGTCACGCATATCCTGCATTATGCATGTCGCGTCTGTTTTCGCCCTGGACGTCGACACGGAGGAGGACCTCGGGCGGAGTATAGCCAATTCGCTAGAGTAGACTCTCCCGCGGACGATGGCACCGGGCACGGGTACCCCGAGGGCAGGGTTCAGGAGGAGATAGCTCTACCAACTTGGGTCGGCGATCTCATTAAAAAACAATAAAATACAAAGGCTCGCGGAGACGTCGCGCCCCCCGCGGAGCCTTAGCGTATTACTGATATAGATTTTAATATAGCTCAATCGTCATATACTGTACAATGATGAATTTTATAATATTTCTAATCTTCTAATTTTGGCGTGGTCTTTGAATATACGAAGATCACAAAGTATGGGATGTTGGGGATGTGGAATCTTGGGCGGGAAGTATCATAAATTCACAGGAATAGTTAAGTGGCCCAAAGTCCCTACCGTATATTACTATATAGATTTTACAGGATTAGTTACGTGGTAACGTGTATGGCATGTGATTTCTCTTACATAGCAAGTTGAAGCACAGTCTTCATCAGGATTCTCCACGTTACTTCTGAAGCCTTCGTTACTCGTATTCCGCATCCATGTCTCATTGATATAATTGTAAGCGAATACTTGGGGGATTTCTTATTTAGTTGTTTTTCTCGAGTTAAAGATAAATTTGAGTTCTGGTGAATATAGAAAATAATTTTTTACAGAATCCAACGAAACTTACAATGAATGTTCAAGATTATAAAATAAATGACATGTGCCAAACAATAATTCTTTTGGTAGAAAATGTAAAGTGGCCGGCTGAGGAAAGAGCATATAAAATGATAAGAAAATCCAGGTAAGCAGGCCAGAAACCATGTGCTTAACACTAGGCTATATGCAAATGGAAGTTGTGATTTTTATCGAAGATGATGCCCAGTCAGTTCGTATGTTTTTTGTTTTTATTTTACTGGTTCAAACAATCCAGAATAAATCATAGCAATTTTCTTTTAAAATACGATTCCAATATCAGAACGCAAGATTAGCTTTAAGCTATGGGCAGGGGTCTCTGCAATAATAACTTGAATATATTATTGCAGAGAGTAGCAGCCTAACCGCAGGCGGAGATCGGCCCTGTATTTCTTTGTAGAGGGGATTTCATTCATAAAGCCCTCTAACGTTTAAAGTGGAAAGTCTTGTTGTTGTTGTTGTTGTTTAATAGTGGGATATGCACGTCGTGTATTACCGCTGGACTGAAACACCAAATAGGATTCCTGCCGACACATGTCATGATAAGTTTGAAGAGCAACAATGAATGTATCGTTTCGTTCATTTTCCTATTTATTTTATTTATTTATTTATTATTCATTCATTTCATGTATGAGTAAAACGTTTTTCATTTAGATTCAAATTTATCATTTTATTTAATTCATTTATTTATCAACTTATTACCTATTTATTGATTTGTTTGTTTAGCCATGTCTTTGTATAGCTATATATTTATTTATTTATCTTTTTAATTCAATAAATTTACCACTCCTTCGCTGGGGAAAATAGACGTCTGCAGTCGCTTCGACCTGACTCCATCGATTCAACTAGAATATCGAATAATTTGTTATGGTTTGTCGAATTAACTTTGCTTTTAATTTCAATTTCATAGTATTTGAAGATATTATGAGGTATTTTCAATTTTTTTTTTTGATTGAATGTTTAACATATATTTTTTAAACAAAAAGAAGATTCACTCGATTATGATTGTTTTGTGTTCATTTAAAAATAACTAACTACTATTTATATATAAGGTTTATCTATATATAAAATTAACACTTCCCTATGTTGCAAAACTTATTTTCTAATAAAACTAAATTTTGACGTGGTATTTCAATATGTGAAGACCACAAAATCTGGTTAAGAGGTGTCGGGAGTTGGGATTAATAACTCTTCCGAATACCTGGGGGACTTCTATCAATCATATTTAGTTGTTTTTCTCGAGTTAACCCAAATTAGGCCCCCCCCCCTCTCCTCCTCGATAAAACATTGGTAATTGGGACTTGTTTAAAGTTGAGGTGTTTGTTTTGGGAGTCAAAATAGTTGAATTATAGTTAGAAACTAGCAGGACCCGCGGAAATCCGCGGGATTCTAGAGGGGGGCGGGGGTGTAAATAGATATATAGAGACTGTCTAAATTAAAACCACCAAGAACTTTATTTGCCATTTAGGCCATTAAAAAAGATATACATGTTTAGCGTCCCGCCCGCTTCCTTTTTGGGGGCCGCCTTCTATTTATTTTATTTTTTTAATTTAAAAAATATATATATATATTTTTTTTTTTTGAAAGAAAAAAGCATGAAAAACACTGCTAAAATGGATGTATTTCTGATTTAAAAAAAAAAAAAAATTGCCGACCGCCATCTTGAAAAATGTCAGGGAAAATGTACGGAGCGGCCATTTTGAGCGGCCATTTTGAAAGCAAAAAAAAGGGCCTCCTTCTTATTTTTCAAAAAAACAGGAGGCTAAACATGTTTGTTTTTTATTTGGCCTTATATAAAAATTTAAAAAACGATCCAACTGTACCCGTAGTTATTCTATAAGCAACTGGAACTGCGTAGAGTTCCGTAGTGTGGCGTACCGACTACGAAGAAATTAGGCTGCGTATTAATGGGAAAATAGTCCCTGCGTAGGTTATGCGTAGGCTGGCGTACAGGTTTGCTTATAGTTGCTTACTGTGTGGAAAGCTTTTACTGCTTTGTCGATCTGGCGTAGGGTAGCGTACTGTTGGGTAGGCATGTAGCGTAGTGTTGCGTAAAAAGGCGTACTTTCTGCGTCAAGTTTCTACGCCGAAAGTACGCGAAAAAAATTTAAACATGTTGAATTGTTTTCATTCATCTTGCGTACCCCCTTTGCGTCCCTCAGCACAGTGCCAGTGTCACAAATAAAGTTTTAAAAATATGCTCATCTGACCCTAATTAAATGTCTAAAACCCCTGAGCTTTCGTGGGGTTATGGCCCCTTGAAACCCGTGGACCCCACGCCTATATTATATATACACTCAACTCGCTGCGATCTGATCCCCCCCCCCACTTTGAAGAACGTTTCTTGGAGCCTGCATGTAACATGTAAGAATGGTGCATGGTGATGCAGATTTTCTTTCTGCACCCCCCCCCCCCCCCCCAACGATTTTACTCATTACGTAACTGTTTTGCAATGCATGAAGTCACATACTTCTGTCTGGTTGAGTACAATTCATAACCTTATTTAAAATTAATGCTTTCTTGTAATTTACTGTAGATATTAAAGACAAAAATAGTCTCCGATGGCTGAGTAGACGTAGAGTCGTATAGTTTTGTAGCTGTATAGGTGGACAAAATTATGGCACTTCGGCCCGCACGCTGTTGTGTTAACGGGTTCTTCGATGGATGGATAGACGTATGTGTAGTTGTATAGTTGTACAAAGATTGGCCTGCTTGGCCCCCCATACTTTTCGACTCTACACTCAGTCAAAGTCCACGCCGCGCGACAGCAGCAGCACTGCACTTAACTCCGAGAAGCTCCACCGGCGCCGCAGGCGTGCGGCGCCGGTGTTGGAGCTTCCCGGAGTTACACTGCACTGTGTGTAATGTATGTGTGTTGGCTGAAGGCAGCTTGCGACTGAACTGTCAGTCCAATGATTTTCTTGTGAAAACTTTCCTTTAAGAAATGATGATTAAAATTCAGTAAACATGGCCGTAATAATCACAAAATAAGCTTTGATTTCATACCTCCATTCACGAAAACTAAATACAAATCGCGGCAATCATGATGGAAATAGGTCTCTAAGTTTGGACGTGGACGGGAAGCCCGTGTATCTCTCTGGCTTTGTGCTTGTGCAGCTACTACAAAGGATACCCTATAGAAAGATGCTTTACTCGGGTAATCCCGACCCTGTGCATCGTGCATTTAATACGCAACTTAATGTGAGTGGATAGTCATCGGTCGTGTGTCTACGGATGTAATGTTGAATATCCATGAGGTATCTCTGTCGTCACGCATATTCTGCATTATGCATATCGCGTCTGTTTTCGCCCTGAACGTCGACACGGAGGAGGACCTCGGGCCGAGTATAGCCAATTCCACAGAGTAAACTGACGATGGCACCGGGCACGGGTACCCCGAGGGGAGGGTTCAGGAGGAGATAGCTGCACCAACTTCGGTCGGCGATCTCATTAAAAAACAATAGAATACAAAGGCTCGCCGAGACGTCATGCCCCCATCCCCCCCCCCCCCCCGCGGAGCCTTAGCGTATTACTTATATAGATGATATAAAACAACAAAAACAATCAAATGCATAAGTTAAAAAACAATGAAATACATAAGAAATTATCAAAACAAGAGATAACATAAGGAATGACCTAGCTCTTTCAATTTGTTTATGTCGTATTATTGTTTTAAATGGTCTAACGAATACAAGTGGTGAAAACGTATGCTTACATATAAAGAATATAAGATTCATGGGTAATAATATCACCCGGCCTTTTTAGGGTTCGGATATACTTGAGTTCTGGTAAAAAAAAAAGAAAATGAATTCTCATAGAATCAAACGATACTTACCCTCAATGTTCAAGATTATAAATAATATGTGCAAACCAATTATTTGGGTAGAAAATGTAAAGTGGCCGGCTGAGGAAAGAGCATATAGAAAGATAAGGAAATCCGAGTAATTAAGCAGGCCCGACACCATGTGCTGAACACAGGTCACTATGTATAAATGGGAGTTGTTGTTTGTA